GGGGGGGGGGGGGGGGGGGGGGGGGGGGGGGGTGAAACCGAGATTGCGACTGTAGGTGTACTGTGGCGAGGTGGTGTTGCCAATTCGACAAAGGACACCGTATAATGCGCGCTTTTTTCCTGCGCGAACATGTTCTCCACTCCTCTTTGAAAAAAAGGGGAGTTAGGGGAACGTCGGCTAAAGATCATAAATGCAGAAATGAGATATTCCATGGCATCAGGTAACGGGGGATGAGAAGTAATAGAGGACGAGATGGCGAATAGCCGCCGTTTCGGTGGCTATGATCACAGATTAGGTCAATTTTGCGGTCTCTGGTTGTCAGCCTTGATCCAATTTGACTCTGGGTCTAAAGGCGAGTGAACAATCACTTGGATGACAAAGCCGGGCGGAATGTGACAGTCAGAAATACGCAAGTTATCCTTCAGGGCCATACCGCAGCAAAACCATCGCTGGCGATCAGGTTGCCAGTTAATCAGCTTCGAGAGTGCCTTCTTGGCATCAAGAATAACATTGACGGAGGGATTCACCGTGATCTGATACTCCTGACCCGTGGACAGACGCAGCCGCAGGTCAAGCAACTCCTCCTTCTCCCCATCACCGCTGTGTCTGAAGCGTCGCCGTTTTTTGCGGCTGCGTGCTAACACACGGGCGCAGCCGCTGGAGCCTTCGCCGGTGCCGCCGCCGCTGCCGCGGGGGGTCCGGTGTTTTCGCATTCGGCGGAGGTGGACGCGAAAGTAGTTGATGAAGCCGCCGAAAACTTGGCGTGAGCGAGCTGCTGCGGAGTCCCGACCACTACTGCTGCTGGTGCTGCTGCTGCTGCCACTACTAATGTTGATACCGCCACCGCCGCCTCCCGAGGTCAGGTGTTCCGCAGGCTGGGGACCGGCAGATGAGGGGATATTGACAATGGCAACCACGTCCAGACTTCGATCAGCACCACTGGCGTCTCCGTCGTCACCGTCTGGCGTTGCTGAAGCCTCTGGCCTATCCGACGATGTTGGAGGCGGCGGCGGTGGCTCTGACTGCAGATTCGACGGTTTGGAAAGAACAAAGATGGGCAATTGATAACGCATTCCCAGTTCATCATAGCATTCGGCTAGGGTGCCTAAGAGAGAGAGAGAGAGAGAGAGAGGGAGAGAGTAGCTGTTGTGGGACGGCACGCGACTAATCGGAGAGGGGGGGGGGCGAGGTTAGAAGGAATGCAGCACAGAATGCCACTCGGGCTACGGTTACTTTGAGCGAAGTCAGCAAGAAACAGAGAGAGCTGGGCTCGGTCGGTCGTACTACTACTACTACTACTACTACTACTACTACTACTACTACTACTACTACTACTACTACTACTACTACTACTACTACTA